GTCCTGCTCGGGCCGGGGTGCTCCGTGCGCCCAGGGCGCGCCTGCGCTGGGCTCTGCGGGGAGGCGCCCAGACCCCTGTGAGCCTCCTTCCGGGAGATGGTAAGGGACACTGAGCTATGAGGGCGATCAGAGCGACTGACAGGACTGTCAGTTGGGGTTACATCAGACAGCGCAACCGCGGCGCCCGGGCCCCAGGCCTCCTGGGCTTCCGGGGGGCGGGGGAGGGGCCTTCCCCGCGCGCCCGGGGCCCCCAGACCCGACGGCCACCAGAGGCAAGTCACTTCCTAATTGTCTCGATTTGTAAGAGGGTTTTGTGATGCTAAGTACGCGCGGCGCAGCCCGCCCAGCCTCCCCCCACGCCTCCCCCAGCCCGGCTTTGTTTACCTTCGCCCGATCGCTCATTTATTTATCTATCTATTATTTATAGGCGTCCCCTCCTATTCACCGCCCGTGTATGTTAATTGTGTTCTACCATTTAATTCTAACATCGGTCTCAAAAGAGCTCTTAATGAGAAAAGCATATACAACACGGATCACTTTGCTATTCAGCTCAGCCAGATGGACAACTGCTAACTTTTTCTCCCCTAATAATGAAAATCCCCCCTCGACAAAGGGACTCGGATGAACAGGCTCCAAACAGCACCTCAAACACTTCTAATTGTCTTGAGGACAATATGCTAATCCGCGGGTTTCGGCTTTGGTGTCTGTTGACAACGTTTCCCGTGCACCTCGAGCCACTGACGCCTTTGGAAACCGCAGAGGCCGGCGCGCAAAACCCTGGGCAGCGGCAGAAAGCCCACCGGCCCCCAGGCCGCCCCGCCCCCACCCCGCAGCGCCGCGGGTGGGAGAAGCACGCGACTTGCGGGAACACGCGCGTGAGCGCGGCTTCGGGAGTGAGACTCGGAGTCGGGGGTGGAGAGCAGCGCCCTTGCTTCTGAGAACAAGTTCCAAAGAGTTAGGCGGGAGGGCGTCAGAGGGTCTTCTCTACAGGAAAGACGGGAATCTTCAAGCAGACCCTCACGCGCAAGAGGAAGAAAGGGAGCCTCCCCTTGTTTGTTCAACGCTGCGGGCCGCGAGGCATTTAATTCTCACGACTTTTTCGAGCTCCTTGCCTGCGCCCTGACGATGTCCCCTGCCTTCTCCCTTCACTCCTACCGGGTCTTAGTAAAAAGTCTTGGACAAGCCGGGGCGGGGGCCTAGGACATGTTTGTTTCTCTGCATTCCTTAGACTCTTATTTTCCAACTCAGTAACTAGTATAGAGCCTCAAAACCCCCAAAGAGCCGGCAGCAACGTTTCCAAACACCCTTAAAACATACACACACAACCATCCCGCCGTTTTCTCCCAGGCTTTGAACTTAAACACCCACCGCAGGACGCAGTGGTCGGCGCGCAACTGGTTCCCAGGAGACTCCGCACTTCTCCCCGTTCCTCGGGAGTTGGGCTGCTAACAAGTAAAGTCACCCGGATCTCAGCGGTCAGGGCCAGCCATTGTCTTAGTTCATGCGCTACTTCAAGCGGTCTGAGCTCTTTGTGAAGAACGGGCGGAATGGGTGACGCCCAGGAATGGACACCTTTGTCTAGCCTCTAAAGGCAACAGGCGGGGTCTCCGGGAGCTATCCCAACAGGTCCCAGGCACCAGGCCCTCCTGCACCCGTCCACAGACCACCCGGCCGCCGACGTGGGGCCGCCGCCGGTCTTCACTGCCACAGCCTCCCTGTGACCCGACTTTCCGGTCCCGCAGACCTGGCCTCCTGACATCAGATTTTACGCACATCAAAGGTTACCTTTTTTTTTTTCTTGCAATGACAGATTGTCTTTATTCAAAACATCTTTGTTCAACAAATGAACAGAGCCACGAGGTAAAATCCTTCTAGGTACATTTCCAAGACATCGTCAAAACATTTATAACTATTTAGGATGTTTTTATTCTTTTAATTTTTTGTTCACTTTCTACTTCCTGACTTCATAACCCGACATTCTGTCTAAAAGTAAACTTAGGTTTCTAGGAGCACTGCTTTACACAAAGTAAATAGCCATGTGGGTCCTTCCCCCCCCCCCTTTAAAGAAGCAAACACTGTCACAGCATGGTCTTAAATAGAAATGTTTCCCTCTCAGCAGTTTAAAACTTTGCAGCGTTCCCCCGACACACGAAGAGCAAATGGCACCTGGCTGTGTCTGATGGCAAAACAGAGATGCAGCTAACTCTTTTCTTCAGGGGACAAAAGGAAAAAAATATATATGCGTATTCTAGATATAATATCAGGATTTGGGAGTTCAGAGTCCAAAGCCTCTCCGAGGGAGGGAAGAGGACATATTTAAGGAAAACTGCCTCCTTTTTGTCCAAAGGGGGTACAGTCGGAGGTTTGAGTGGGGAGAGTCAGGACAGGGGCAGCTGTGCAGCTGTCACGAGTTGGCGAGTTTCTGGCACCTGTCTGCCCTCGGTCCGGGAGGACGCTCCGCCCTTCCCCCCAGCGGAGAGACAGAGAGTCTGGGGTGGCGTCGGGGGCGCGGCGGCAGGGCCGGCCCGGAGGCGTCCGCAGGCCGGGCTAGGCGCAGAGGCCGGGGCGCAGACCCCACTTCCAGGCCACCCTTCGGGTCCGGGCCGGGTGGGGGTTACATGGCCGTGGCGTGGGCTGACGAGTAGGGGTCTATGCCCGTCTTGGTCATGCCTGGGAAGAGGATGTAGGCGACGGGGGGCTGCAGGG